GGTGCTTACAAAAGATACAGAGTGTTTCTGGTTTGAAAAGTAAGGGAGAGAATGTGGGGGGTCAAGGCTGCTGGAGAAAGAGCCTTACTTGCCTCAGCCCAGTCCAGCTCACCCACCTGGTCCTGTTTGGAGGAAGTTCAGTGTCAGCTTCCCAAAAAGGAGGATGTTACAGGTAAAACAGCCTTGATTATCTGGGCAGTTGGTTCAAACATAAAGCCCACCAGCTGGACTGAACTCTGTGCTTATGGAGAGCTGTGGTCGGGAGTGGAGTTTGATCCACTCCATCCCTGGAGGCTGCTCTGGGCTCTCTGTGACTTGAGAGGGTTTGTCAGCTGCTATGAAGCAGGTTTGGCTAAGCTCCATGAAGTTCTCTGTCTTCATCTCTGGCTGAGTCCTTGAGAGAGGGTCTAGCTGGGAGCCACATCACAAGAGGCTCTATGTAGACCACTGGGCCCCAGTCCCACAGGTAAGCAGTCTTTGGCCCTGTGCTTGTGAAGTCCATTCCAGGCCTTGATCTTCCCGAAGTGCAGTGGGCTCTGGTGACTTGAGCGTTCCCCTTCTGTTCCAGGAGGCGATGGCACGATGGGGGTGCAGCACAGCTGTTACCAGCCCCCCCAGCTGGGTGTGGCTTAGCAGCCCTGGGGCTTGTAGTGGTTCCTGAGTGTCCGTGAGTCTGTCCTGCAGATGAGCGGGATGGCAGACTTGAAAACACTTGCAGACAGGTGACACTGAGGGCCTCTGTACGTCTCAGGACAGCAGAGCTGAGATGTCTCTGCTGTTCTCACTTGCCTGTCACACATGGCTCTGACATTCGAGTTGTGGTTTCACCCTTGGCTCCGCATCACTGGTCAGGGTGAGATGGCAGCAGGCCCCATGGCTGCTGTATCCCAGCGTCATTGCTGGGTGACCTGGTCTGGCCCAGTAGGAGGGAGCCTTGAAACTAGCTCAACTCGGGGAGGTCCAACTGTGGCAGTCCCTGGGCGCAATCCCTAGAAAGCTCTCACAGGGAATTCCATTTGGCAAGCGGGACAGCACCTTTCTTTCTCTTTTTTTTTGGTTTTCCAAGACAGGGTTTCTCTGTGTCATTTTGGTGCCTGTCCTAGATCTCGCTCTGTAGATCAGCTTGGCCTCGAACTCACAGAGATCTGCCTGCCTCTGCCTCCCGAGTGCTGGGATTAAAGGTGTGCGCCGCCACCGCCCGGCTTGACAGCATCTTTCTTACACTTCCATTTGCACACATGTGGGAGGAGGACGAGGAGCACGAGCTGAGGGTGGAGCCCTGGGGAGGTCAGCCTCACAGTCATATGGGGAAGCAGACCGCGATGAGGAGGGAGGGGTGTGCATGCTGGAGAGCTGTGCTCCCATGTCCTGTCATGAGGACAAGGCCTAAGCGAGCGGTTTTGGGGAGACTGTAGGGGAGGGTCCCACCTAGGAGGAAGAAGAGTCAGGGCTACAGTGCTTGGGTGGTGTTCTTATCTGGATTGAGGCCACAGCTGCCTCAATGTATCTTTCCATTGTCTCCTTAGACACAAGGGCATTAGCACGAAGTAACTTGCCAAGCACCAGGATGAGTCAGGATCACCCAGTCAGCCTTGGGTTTCTTGGATTGGAGCTTTGTGGGGATGTAGAAGGCTGATATCAGCCAAGGAGTCTGACCATGTGGTACTTGGTCATTCTCTGGTGTGTGATGGGCCAGACTTCCCAGCGGCCCACTTGAAGGGCATTCTATATATGCAGCCTCCCCTGTTGAATATAATGAAATATTTATGAACCCTCAAGGGGTTCAATATAGGGTGAAGGACCCCCATTGTGAGGCTTAGAGTCTCACTGTGGGGTGAGGAGCTTACACTGTTGGGCAAAGAACTTGCTTTTGGGTGAGTGCTTACTTTGTTGAGCTAAAGGCTTACCCTGGGTCAAGGGGCTTGCTCTTGAGTGAGGAACTTGCTCTGTGTGGCTGGGGCTTGTTTTGTGTGGGAGGGCCTCGTTCTGGGGTAAGGGACTTACTTATTCTGTTGAGCTAGGGGCTTACTCTGTGGAGGAGGGGCTCTTACTGTGTAGTAATGGGCTCCCTCTGAGGGGTAAGCAGGGTTGCTTTGGTTTGTTTTTCTTTTTGTTTGCTATAACAAAATGCCCCCAAATTCAGGCAGGGTAGCTAGCACACAGTAGCAGTGCCAGCATTTAGGAGGCTAAGGCAGAAGGTTTTCAAGTTCAAGGCCACCTGGGCTGCTAATGTGCTGTAGCCTCAAAACAACAGCTGTAATTTAAAAAACGTCCCAAGTTGGGAAATTTATGAAGATCAGAAGTTGTTTTCTCATGCTCTGGAGGTGGGGAGGTCCAGAGTCAAGGTGCTAGCCTCTGGTGAGGGCTGTTGCTGTTCTCTGCTTTCAAGGTAGCACCTCGATGCCACATCCTTCAGGGGAGGAGACCTGTGCCATGTGTTCACCGCACTTGGCAGATAACAGGTGGGCAAAAAAGCCAAATCCCCTGTGTTCAAGCCTTCCATGAGAGCCCTAATCCCATTTGTAAGGCAGCGCCTGATGGTTCACCTTCCTCTTAAAGATCACACGTTGGAATACTGTTGCTTTGGGGACTAAACTTTAACATGAATTGTTAGAAAGAACAAAAGCATTCAGACCATTGGAGGGCTAGAAATTGGCCAGTGTATTGTAGACATAAAGATTTCTGGTATTCCCATGTAGACTCGACTTTGGAACTCAGAGCTACATAGGGTCCATTTTACAGCTCCGGTTGCTTGGCACTTGGGGGCATGTGGGGCTGGCTCTTCAGAGGTTCTGTGGGAAGGTTGCTGAGTGACATGGCTGACAGGCCAGAGAGCTGGCTAAGTTCTTTGCTGGCTTGGACTTGCATGGGTCCTGGCCCTTTAACACTCGGCCTTAGCTTGGAGCCTCTGAGCAATGGTGGGAGGCAGTGGGCTGTCTAA